AAACATCCCATTTTCAACGATTACATAACGATTATTTGATAAAATTGATAACCTTAGCATACGTTTGTTACGGCCTGATAGGAAATATTGTCGGAAAGGCAAAAAAGTCAAAACACTTTATGTGGATTCGTTAATACTTACAGCCCTTATGATCGTCGTAGTAATAAAAGAAAAGTATTTGTACATATATCTATATTTTCTTTTTTTTTTTTTTATTCAGATGCTCGTTCATATCGATATAATATACTAACACAGGCCCGTGAACCTTCTGCTAATTATTTTATTGAAGTACTGTTCCCAGCATCATCTTATAGGCATATTTTATTCATTAAAGCATTGTGTTAAGCAGATTTTCAACCTATATACCACACACGTACACAAACATGCACTTTTATATACGTGCATAAATGTGTCTTTAGTATCGATGATAGTTATCTATACATCGATATGCACACACACATCTATCTGTATATATATATATATATATATATATATATATATATATATATATATATATATATATATATATATATATATATATATATATATATATATATATATATATATATATATATATATATATATATATATATATATATATATTCACACAAGAGAAATACATACATATGTGTGTGTGTTACAGCTACCGATTATGGTAGCTGAAACCCGTACAGTGTGTGGCTACTTTGGGTTGTTGCTCTTTTGACAACACTTGGCTACTGACCCTGAAACTGTTTGACTCTCCCAATCTCATTCAGCCGTGGAAGTGTAGTCCTGCCATCTGACTGAACTACATGTCTTAAGTCAATCAGGAATGTGATATTCCTGTTATATACTATTTGGCTGGATGAGATATTAAAGTAAAATATTTAAAAATATGTAAATGAGTTAAAGAATGTGTTACGTTGCTTGTGTTTATGTCGATCTATCTATCTACATATGTATCTTTGAAAATATATGCATTTATACTTCTGTACATACATACATGGATATTCAATAATTGTATATATATATATATATATATATATATATATATATATATATATATATATATATATATATATATATATATATATATATATATATATATATATATATATATATATATATATATATATATATATATATATATATATATATATACATATATATATATATATATATATATATATATATATATATATATATATATATATATATATATATATATATATATATATATATATATAATATATATATATATATATATATATATATATATTATATATATATATATATAATATATATATATATATATGTATATATATGTATATATGTTATATACTAATGTATATGTGCGTTTACATATCTAATTATAAAAATGTTAAAATAATCACCCCTAAACACAAATGCATGAGACTGACCTTGACAATGTCCATCTTGTCGACATGAAACTCCATGGACCAAGTATTGCATACAGAACTCGAATTATAAAAACGTGTCCCAGTTGAATATTGGTAATCATAAGGGTATATAAGGACACTGTCGGAGACTTCAGCATTCATTCCTTGAGAAGCAAGAATCATGAACACTAAGGTACGGAAAAGCCTTGGCTTTGGATAGCATTAAGAAAAATAAGATAATGCTAATTATAATAGTAGTAACATACTGATATAACAGTAACGAAGTTGATTGTGATATAATGATGATAATAACCATAACACATTTCTCGCAGATCCTCATTCTCCTCGGTCTGGCAGCCGTCGTTGTTGCCGACAGGCCTCAGACCTCGTACGGACATCCTCGAGTAAGTGCTTTGTAATGATTCTATTACAATTTCTTTTATGCAATCTATACTGTAATATAATCTTGGAAACCCTTGCCTGCAAATTTCATATCTATACATGTCTGTTTATCAATGGTCTGATGTATTCATATGAACATAAATTTGCAAATGATGTAAATATATATTGTAATTTTCTAACTTTATTGAATTCGAAAGTTAGTTGTTTGATATTTTGTAGTAATCGAAGTTACTGCCTTTCCAAGAATGATTATTTAAGAAATTCTTTTTATTTGTAGGATTCCTCTGAGGAGTCATTCGAGTCGTTCGAGTCAGGAGAAGCCAAGTACGACTTCAGTTATGCCGTTCAGCACGAAGACTCCGGCAACGACTTCGGACACGAGGAAGCCCGTGACGGCGAACACACTCAGGGATCCTACTACGTGAGGCTTCCCGACACCCGTCTGCAGAACGTCAAGTACTTCGTGGACGGCGACGACGGCTACGTGGCCGAGGTCAACTACGAGGGCGAGGCTCGTTTCCCCGACTCGTATGAGTCTGCCTGAGTCTGCCTCCTTCGAGTCCCGGGAGTACAGGCCACCAAGGCCAGCCTACTTCTATGGCTCCAACGAGTCCAAGTAAACAGTCCTCATCTTCCTGAACTTAGGCCATGGATATGAACTTATTTATTTGTATATTGTATGTATTCTCTATATAAAAAGCAATTTGAAAAAAAGGTTTCATTTTATCAATTCGCCAATCTCTCTCAGTCTCTGAACACATACTTAAACACACTCACGGAGATAAATATATATAGATATATGGTCATATATGTGTATATGCACACACACACACACACACACACACACACACACACACACACACACACACACACACCCTATATATATATATATATATATATATATATATATATATATATATGCATACGTTAAATGCATTAATTTATTTGCATTGAATTATTAATGCAAATATATCATATGATATATTCACTTATGACTTAAAGGAACTCTTACCTTGAGAATTTATTAGAAAGTACGTTTCGGATTCAGATAGCTCGTCATAAATAAGAGTTATATCTAATAATATTTTCTTTGACTCCACAGTTTCGATATACATTCCTACGTCAATATTTTTTTTTTCGAAATACGAAGATATTCAACTTGAAAATTATGAAATTCTCAGGCCCCTTTAAAGATTTATTACTATATTATTCTTTTATAACCACTAATGTCATTATCGGCGCATTTCGAGTTTAACAAGCTATAAATTTTGGGATTACTTAATCAAAGTATTAAATTTTTCGATATAATTTAAAGCAATTGAAGTTATGAAGTAAAATTATTAAGAGATCCCACAAAAAAGAGGGAATGGACAAGAGCAACGTCTAAAACACTGGAGGTAAGAGGAGCAAGGGCAGAGAAGGGATTACGTAAACCACAGAAAAAAAAAATCTTTGTTCAATCTCGCACTAAAAGGCAATTCGTCACGACCTCTTGGGTACTCTTATATCACAAGTCTCTTTTACAAAACATGTATATGTAAAGCACACGCACGCAGGTACACATACAGATGCTAAGGTAGAGAGAGAGAGAGAGAGAGAGAGAGAGAGAGAGAGAGAGAGAGAGAGAGAGAGAGGAGAGAGAGGAGAGAAGAGAGAGAGAGAGAGAGATTGGAAGCATGAAATATCTATATATTTTTCTCATCAAAAGACACTCAATTAATTTAAGTACCCTGGAGTCCAAAGTAATTGTTTAATTTTTCCTGTGAGTTAGATAGCGAATGGAAAAGGATAAACATTTTAGAAAATACTTCAAATAGATTAATTCGCTGCTGTTCGATTCACTGATTTAAGATAGGTTGGAAATATTCGTATTCCTTTGTCTTATAGTTTTGGAAAATATTTTTAAAATATAACTGACTACTTATGGTGGATATGAAAGGCCAGAGATAAAACGTCCGACACACTCACCCACCCACACAGACACACACTTTCTCTCGAAGATTAGCAAATCAGAGACAAACTGCTATCTCTAATCATGCACACTATCCCTCTCCCATGGATGAAAATATTTCCCTTTCACTTTTCCTTTGTTTGTCTTCCCGCTTCCCTTCCTCTTTCCTCACTTACAACTTTCTCCGCATTACTTAAGGGGAAATAACTACAGTGAAGTAATTAGAGCACTGCAATATCTGTTACCTTAAGCTTCAAGACGAACTGGGATGGCAGCCCCGCCCTACGACTCTGTGACCTTTCAGATCATTGTTCGTGACCCTGACCTTGCTCCAGTGGAGGTCATGCAGATATTCGTGCCGTGAAGCCTGCAGTTAGAAAGACGATTCCAAGAGGAGAGGGATGACCTGATAATTCAAGTGTGTCCAAAGTGTTTGTATGATAATTATTATCATTAATTATTATTGTTATCATTGTTATCAGTAGATGACGCTGTTGATCAATGGATGTTGTTTAATATGAAAATTCGTAAATAAGCTCGAAAAAGCTTTTCTTATTGTTTAACCGGAAGTGTTTTTTTTCTCTCTTTCTTTCTTTCATTTTTTTTTTTTTTTTTTTTTTTACGCCGAAACAGAGAAGTGAGGTCCTTTAAAGTTAAATCTATAGTCATGACTTCATTTACGGACTTCCATGGAAAATAATGAGCATGGCCTGGATATAGTCTTGCTGTGTGTTTGCACATGCACGTGTGTGTGTGTGTGTGTGTGTGTGTGTGTGTGTGTGTGTGTGTGTGTGTGTGTGTGTGCGTGTGTGTGCGTGTGCGTGTGCGTGTGTGCGTGTGTGTGTGTGTGTGTGTGCGTGTGCGTGTGTGCGTGTGCGTGTTGTGTGTGTGTGTGTGTGTGTGTGTGTGTGTGTGTGTGTGCACTAGTAGCTAAACATACACATACATGTACACCAAACTAGTAAGACATTCATAAATCCAGCAGCTTCCTGGTATGGAAGTGATTTCAATTTTGCGGCTCTTAGTTCGCACCACTTATTAAATCCTTTATATCTACTGCAACAGACCAACAGATATTAATGTTGTTATTTATTTTTAGGTTACTACTATGAAATACATATCTAGTTCATTATCGTTGTTAATAGAAGTGGTAGTATTTTGTTTAAAGCTTCAATGATTCGGCAAATCGACAGTGCGTACTTTCATCTCGTCTCACGCACACACACACCACACACACTCACTCACTCACACACACACACACACACACACAACACACACACACACACACACACACACACACACACACACACACACACACACACACACACACACACACACACACACACACACACACACACACACACACACGGGTTAGTCACACAACGATATAAGACCATGTCAGTGTATATAGGTGACATCATTTAATAAAAAATAAGATAGCTACATTTGAAAAATACTTCGAGCATGTGGGTGGGGCAGAGATTTAACACATTTCTCGGGACAAAATGCTAATGAAACATCAAGCATAAAAATTGAAGCTCTATGCCATATCTACAATAATATATAATAATATAATGATATAAGGCCATTCATTCATCTTTGATGAAAATATGTCAGTGCAATAACAGCTAATCATAAAACCTTGAATGTAATGAGATTGTGAACAGAATACTATGATTTCTATGAGTTATTAAATTCATTATTAAAAATTAAAGATCTCTCTGCTTTCGCAATAACTGCGAGGAGGCCGAGAAAGCAGAAGTAGTACTCCTTGCTGTGATATGATATGCATTTTTTTTTTTTTTTTTTTTTTGACGCTGAATTCCATTGAAATCAAGAAATTAAGAAGACATTATCATGGAGAGAAATTTCATATTATTGTTAGATATTTACCTGCATATTTAGTACCAAAATATATCTGGAGAGAAAAATATTAAATATTTTAGCCTCTCCTTATGCAGGCCAAGAACATCACAGTTAAAGTTTCTTTTTCTCTTTATTAGTGTGTCTGTTTAGAAGATCAGCGAAAATGTTACTAAAAAAAGATGGCCTCTCCCTATTATCAACAATATTTCTTCTGTATATGACGCGCCCTTATACTGAAAAGGCAGGAAGTTGTGCTACTGAGTTTTGTTTAACATTTAGATTGTCTTGTAGTAATTAGAATATTTCAGCTATATAGGTGTTTGTTTTTTGTAGTCCGTAAAGGATGGGTATAAAGAAAAAAGAAAAAAAAAAAAGAGGAGGAAAACTAGCTTAAATCATTAGAACCCGTCATTTGACAAGTTACAAATTATTCTGTCAAGCATAATAAAGAGTTAAACTATCACTAACTCCCCATTTACTTTATTAATTACACCTGCCACTCTTTCTCCAAGTGCTGAAAGAAAGCAGCGGTTAGGTAACTGGAACACAACAGTATCGCAATCTCAGACACCCTTATCTCCAACGAGGACCCGGATGACGGCCCCGCCCTCTGACCTCTGACCTACCAACCGCTGTTCATGACCTTGCCCTTGCTCTGGCTGCATGCGAGAGGCTAGTCACGTGTTCCGTCTGGCTGCGATGGCTTCTCTGATGATAATAACTTTTTATAGCGAAGTTACAGGCAATATCTATGATAATAGATTCTTTGATGGTGATAATAGGAAACAATAGTACTACTTTTATGATAATTACTTTGATATGGAGAGTGATTATTGGGTTAATATGAAAATATTTATATATATCATACGTTGAGATAAAAAGCTGATGCATTCAAAATTCTTAAAAGTTTATGATTAATTATCCTACGCAAGGTTTTTAGTCTAGAATTCTTATTCTTAATGATTATAGAATAACTGCCTTGGGTAGATGAAGCTTTCTGCGTAAAAAACTATTTGTATGAGTGTACAAATTCTCACAAATCTCACGTACGTAGAATTTTATGAACCAAATATTTTCTTCGTTTTCTTTATTTAATGTTCTTATTGAATGTATAAATAATTACACTATTAAAAAGAGAACGTCCACGCCATATTTGAAAATTAGGTTTCCGAAACGAATTTATTTAGACCCGTCGGAGCCATAGAAGTAGGCTGGCCTTGGTGGCCTGTACTCCCGGGACTCGAAGGAGGCAGATTCGAAGGAGGCAGACTCATACGAGTCGGGGAAACGAGCCTCGCCCTCGTAGTTGACCTCGGCCACGTAGCCGTCGTCGCCGTCCACGAAGTACTTGACGTTCTGCAGACGGGTGTCGGGAAGCCTCACGTAGTAGGATCCCTGAGTGTGTTCGCCGTCACGGGCTTCTCATTTTTTTTTTTTTTTTTTTCAAAACTTTGTTAGTGCATACTTCGATGCATACTTCGTGTGTTGTAGCGACCATGATACAACGTCAAACATGTATCAAAGTGTTTGGAGTTTCGAGATGTTGCAGAAGGTCTATACATACTTATACACAAACATATATATACATACTCATATGAAGACCTGTAACAAAAGTCCAAATTTTGCCGAGTAATGCATTTCATAGTATATAAGAAGAGATAGAATCTGCTTAATTTCCGTAATGCCAAAGTGGAGATGCTTACAACGAAAGTTAAATATGATAACAAGTCATATATATATATATATATATATATATATATATATATATATATATATATATATATATATATATATGTGTGTGTGTGTGTGTGTATGTGTGTGTATGTATATATATATATATATATATATATATATATATATATATATATATATATATATATGTGTGTGTGTGTGTGTGTG